AGTTTTTATTTATCTTGAGTAAGTACCTACAAGCAGAATTATTTGGTTATATAGTGGTAATTCTATATTTAATCATTTGAAGAACCACTAGTGTGGCTAGAATATAGATATAAATAAAAATGATTATACACCATGACCAAGTCAGCTCTGTCACTGAAATGCTGAGATGGTTCAACATATATAAGTCAATAAATGTAATAAACCTCTAAATGGACTTAAAGGTTAAAAAAAATCACCTGATCATCTCAATAGAAAAACAGAAAAGGCCTTTTACAAAACCCCAAAAAAGTCCTAGAAAATAATAGTCTAGAAGGGAAGCTACTTCAACACAATAAAAGCTACCTATAAGAGGAACTCGCAGCCAGCATCTTTCTAAATGCTGAAGAGCATGAAGCAACCCCACTGAAGTCAGGAACAAGACAATATTGTGTTTGAAATACTAGCTGGAGCAATAAGAAAGAGAAGGAGATTAAACAAATACAATCAGAGAAAGGAAAAGTAAAACTATCCCTAGTAGCAGATGATGTGATTCTATTCATTAGAAATCCCAAAAATTTTACCAGAGAACTCCTAAAACTGAGAAACAATTTCGGCAATGTGGCAGGATATAGAAAGAACCTGCACAAATCACACAAATCAGTAGCTTTTTTTTTTTTTTTTATACACCACCAACAAGCATCCTAAAGGGACGCTAGCCAGCCCAAGCACGGCAAGCATCTGCCTTACTAACACCGGTCCTTTCACATAAAGAGATGGTCGTGTGGTGGTGAACACTGTCCCATTCACGATAGCCTCAGAGAAAATGTTGGTCTTCTTCTTCTTCTTCTTCTTCTTCTTCTTCTTCTTCTTCTTCTTCTTCTTCTTCTTCTTCTCCTCCTCCTCCTCCTCCTCCTCCTCCTCCTCCTCCTCCTCCTCCTCCTCCTCCTTCTTCTTCTTCTTCTTCGAGACAGGATTTCTCTGTAGCTTTGGAGCCTGTCCTGGAACTAGCTCTTGTAGACCAGGCTGGTCTCAAACTCACAGAGATCCGCCTGCCTCTGCCTCCTGAGTTCTGGGATTAAAGGCGTGTGCCACCACTGCCTAGCACAGCCTCAGAGAAAGTGAAGCATCTAGGAATAACTCTAACCAAAACAGTGAAGAACCTTTGCAACGGACTTTAAAACTGAAGAAAGAGGTAGAAAAATGACATTCTAGAAAATGGAAAGACATCCCATGCTGATGGATTGGTAGAATTAACATTGTGAGCTGGGGTGGCTGGAGAGATGGCTCAGAGGAATAGAGCACTGGCTGCTCTTCCAGAGGTCCTGAGTTCAATTCCCGGCAACCACATGGTGGCTCACAACCATCTGTAATAAGATCTGGTGTCCTCTTCTGTACTGCAGGATACATGAAGGAAGAAACCTATATATACATAATAAATAAAAATAAAAAAAAAACCCTGTGAGCTGGGCGGTGGTGGTACATGCCTTTAATCTCAGCAGAGGCAGGCGGATCTTTGTGAGTTTGAGGCCAGCCTGATCTACAGAGGGAGTTCCAGGATAGCCAGGACTGTTACACAGAGAAATCCCATTTTGAAAGAAAAGTTAAAAAAAAAAATAAAAGGAAACCCAAACATTATAACCAAAAACAAAAACAAAAAACCCACCAGCCTAATTGGGACTGTGAAGTGCTAAATTAACTTTGAACAATATCAAGAGGACTACGTTGTATCCTGGGTCACCAAAGGTAACTGAGCCTCAGACTGTGGGAGAAAGCTGGCCTGGAGCTCCTCCTCATGGCCAGACCATGGAGATGGCTGGGTGGATATCTGCCCCACCTCAGTGTACACAGACCAGCCACACAGGCACGGCATCCTAAGGCGGTCCTTGCGAGCAAGGTTATATGCTTCCCCTGTGATCTAAATCATGATTCCTCCCCCCTAATACCCACTTTTCATCAGTTTTGAGATTATCATACGAAGTAATGGGTTTTATTATGGCAATCTTTTGCCTTTTTTAGTGAAATAGTAAGATTGTTTTCTCTTTCCAAAGGATTCTTATTGGTTTTAAACAACATCTCACATAGAGTAAGGTGATGTAGAGCTCACTATGAAGGGGCGGATGACTTAAAACCCTCATCCTCTCAGGCGCTGGGATCTGGCTTCCATGGGAAATCCTTTGCCTAGTTCTGTGTGGGATGCCATTGAATTTGGTGGTGATCCTGATGACTCTGTACATAGTTTTGCTTTGGTAGTTACATAGTTTCGCAACATTAATTCGGCCATTACGCAATCGTGGAAGTCCTTTTGTTTTCTAGTGTCTTCTTCAGTGTCTTCAAGTTTTCCTTGCCACAGTATTTCACCTCATTAAGGTTTATTCCTTTTGAAGCTATTGTGAGTGGGATATTTTCTTTTCTCTACAAGTTTATTAGTATATTGAAAAACTACTAATTTTTGTATGTTGATTTTTTTCTTTTGTTTTTTTTTTTTTGTTTTTGTTTTTGAGATAGGATTTCTCTGTGTAACAGCCCTGGTTCTTCTGGAACTTACTATGTAGACCTGGCCTTGAATTCACTGAGATCCACCTGCTTCTGCCCTTCGAGTGCTGGGAATAAAGGCGTGCCTTACCGCCGCCACTGTCTGCTGCAGATTGACTTTGTATTATGCCACTGTGCTGAAAGTATTCATCAGATCTAATAGTATCCTCAGGATCTTTCAAGGGGAGGGTCTTGTCACCTGCAAATATACATGATCTGATTTCTTCCTTTCCTACCTGCACTTGCTCCATCTTTTCCCTATTTATTGTCCTTTTGCTTTAGCTAAGACTTCAAGCACGATATTGTATAGACTAAGACCAGGGGGCACCCTTTTCTCACTTCAGATTTTAGAAGAAATGCTCTCAGTTTTCCCCAAAAGGTGAAGTACCTCCCTAATTTTTGTCATCCTTGTGCAGGCACATGCTGCCCCCTCTATGTCATTCCCAGCTCAGTGTGTGCCGCCCAGTATGCATTCCTTATATCCGTTCATTTCCCCGTGGACCTACTTCCAAAATGCTTCTTTAATTATCTCTGCAAGCCAGTTGCTATCCCGGTGCTCCAGGAGATCAAATGCCAAATTTCTGTAAATACACTCTGACTCCTAAAAATGCTCTGATTCCCCTCCAAACCACCAAGTAATCTCCCCCCACCCCAGAAACCCTTTCTATGTAGCCCTGGCTGTCCTGGAACTCGCTCTGTAGACCAGGCTGGGCTCGAACACATAAAGATTCACTTGTCTCTGCCTCCCACATATGCGGGGACTTAAGGCATTTGCTACACACCTGGCTATATCTAAACTTCTTTCCCTCTCTTCCTCTTGTCTGTCTGTTTTGAGATAATATCTCACTAAGTAGCTTTGACTGTCCTGGAACTCAGGACATGGATGTAGATAGACAACGTTGGCCCTAAACTCACAGAGATCCTCCTGCCTCTGCTTCCCAAGCACTAGTAGTACTAAGGAGTGTTCCACCACCTGGGTTTCTTGCTACATTCTCTCCCTTGTCCCTTTTGTTCTTAAGGACTTGACTGATTTCCTGAGTTCCATGTGTCTTTCAGAATTCCCTTCTTGTCTCTTTTTCCCACTAAGAGTTTCTTTGAATTGTTTTCTTCCCTCTCTACTTTCAGGCCTTAGCTTACATGTTAATTACCCAGGGAGATGGTCATGTGATGGCCCCTATAGTTTATTATGCTTAGAGCCTGTATTATCTGGCCATATAATAATACTATATAAAAAGAGAGAAGCCAGGCCTTTAATCCCAGCACTCAGGAGGCAGAGGCAGGCAGATCTCTGGGAGTTCAAGACCAGCCTTGTCTACAAGAGCTAGTTCCAGGACAGGCACCAAAGCTATAGAGAAACATTGTCTCAAAAAAACCCAAAAAAAGCCAAAAATAAATAAATAAATAAATAAATAAATAAATAAATAAATAAGAGAGATCATATTTGTTTCTTTGTGTAAAGATTTATTTTATGTGTATCTGTGTTTTGTCTGCATGTATGTATGTAAACCACATACGTTCCTGGTGCCCTTGAAAGTCAGAAAAGGACATCAGATCCCCTGGAACTGGAGTTCCAGATACTTGTGACTTACCATGTGGGTAGGGGTAACCGAATCCAGTTTGTCTATGGGAGCAACCAGTGCTCTCAGTTGCTGAGACATCTCTCCAGCCCACATATCTATTTCGTAGCTTAGAATGTGTAATAAATATCTGTTTAGTAAATGAAGAGCTATGTCTTGCTAAAGTGTGCTTGTAAAAACGGTCATTGGTAGCTAGAGATGGAACTCAGTAAAAAGAGCATTTGCCTGGCATACACGGAGCCCTGGGTTCAGTTCCTACACTGCATAAACTGGGCGTGGTGGTGTAGACCTGTAGTACCAGTACTTGGGGAACAGAGGCAGAAAGATCAGAAACTCATCATCATCTTTGGGAGTTCAAGGCCAGCTTGGATTGTGTGTGAGCCAGACTCAAAATGACAAAAAGTTCAGAGTGAGGTGAACTTTAGAACTCAGAGAGCCGGGGTGTCGTCAGGGCTCTGCCTCCATGGCTCCTCTCACCCCGTTTTCCTTCAGTGTGACTTTGAACCCCCAGATTGGTATCAAGAATGGGTCTATACAGGTGTGCAGTCTTTGTACTCAGGGGCCAAGGCAGGAAGATCAAGGCAAGTTTGAAGCCAGTCTGGCTTACATAGTGAATTTCAGACCAGCCTGGGGCTAAAGAGATACTGTCTCCGTCTGCTCCCCACAAAACAGTGAGCATGCAGGTTCGGAAAAGCTTTTTCTCACAATTCCCCTCCATGCCATCTTTCTCTCCTCCACTCCCCAGGACAAAGGAACGTTTCTGTCTGAGCCAGGATTCCTAATTCTGAGCAATGCAAATGGAGTCCTGTGAGTAACAGAGAGACATTTGTTGGAAAGATATCAAGCAGGCTTCAGAGGGATTGTTAGTCTTATAACCAGGTGAAAGTCCAGACAAGTCAGGGTGAGCAAAAGTCCAGACAAGTCAGATATGAGCAAAAGTCCAGACAAGTGAGCACAGAGTCCGGTTAGGACAATGGCAGCAGCAGGCACTGTTGCCACCGGACAGGACTGACTGTAGGGGGAACTCCCACACAGCTGCAGCTGGTTCCTGAGCGTTGGCATGGAGCCTTCGTCGGCCTCTGTCTCCGGCACCTTCTGTTTGGCGTATGTGAATTGTGTCTGAGAGATTCCCAAGGGTATGAAGCCTATGCGAAGCTTGGCTGGGAAAAGCCCAGCACACTGAGATATTCCTTAATCAACAGTTCGCATTGGCGTCGTCCCTTTGGAAGCTTAGGTAGGATGTTTAGGGATATGGACATCAACTTGCTAAAGGTGTAAGGTGGAGAACAATAAAGAGGCCCTTGGCTCAGTGTCCCCACCCGACCTAACCCCCACCGAAGCTGGAAAGGCTAAAATCGTTCTTAAGGTGCCCTGTGTCTTCTTCCACAGACCCGTGTGAACCCCCACCTATTGACAACATTTGGGCCCTAATGTGAGGCGTGAAGACGTACAGTTGAAGGACTGGAGGAAGCAGCTCTCGGGGTAAGGACTCCAGGATTGGCAGGGTCAGGGGATACTTCCCACCTCGGGGGCAGCAGTATGTGCAGCTATTAAAATGCCTGTTAAAGGAAGCGGAGTGGAAGGGAAGGAGACGCGGCTACAGAGCTTTTGATGTTAACTAAACAACATTGCCGTTGGTTTCAGGCAGCTCCTCATGCTCATGGCGGTGTGGAAGCAAGAGTTTTTCCTTTTAAAGATTTTATTTACTTATTATGTATACAGTGTTCTGCTGGGGACACCAGGTCTCATTGCAGATGGTTGTGAGTCACCATGTGGCTGCTGGGACCTGAACCCAGAACCTCTGAAGAGCAGCCAGTGTTCTTAACTGCTGAGCCATCTCTCCAGCCCCAGAAGCAAGTGTTGAGAGCTTTGAGGAGAGCTCATCAGAAAGGAGAGTCCATACCATTAAAAATTTGGCCTTTATATAATTTAATTTAAAATGTCTGGAGCTGTTGCAGAGTGAGGTGTCTCTTAAAGCTCGATCTGAAACAGGGAAGTGAAAGGGAGCACATTCTGCCTGGAAACTGTCGTCAGCAGAGGAGAACGCTCTTCTCAGAAAGACAAGAGTGCTGTTTCAGCGGAAAGGAAAACTGGGGAGAGCCAAGCCCGTGGAGACAAGTCTCCTCCCCCTCCATCTGATGAAAGAGGTTTAGAACTGAGAAGGGCTACAAGGCCCTGAGACAAAGAACGAAAAAGGAAAAAGGAAACTTCTCAGTAGAGAAAAGGAAAAGAAAGAAAATAAAAAAGGAAATCTTCCCAATAGAGAAGAGGGAAGGAAAGGAAGGAAATTTCTCTGGGGAAAATGGAGAAATGTTTAATCAAGAAAAAAGGATTTTCTCAGTTAAAAAAAAAGGGGGAAAGATTTTAAACAAGCCTAAAAATGAAAAGGTCCCATAAACTAAAAATAAAGGAAAGAAAAAAGCCTCTTCCTAATAGAAATAGAGGAAGAAAAAAAGGCTCTTTTCAAAATAACAACTGAGGATAGCTGAAATGCTGACCTCTTCCTGCTGGTCAGTGTCCTCATAGATCTGCCCACCAGCTCAGAGTGGCATCTGAATCACAAAGAATCCAGAGGTGACCACAAGCAGGGCTGCAGCCTGAACAAGCACAGGTGACTGCACCTCTGCAGCCTGAACAGGCACAGGTGACCGCACCTCTGCAGAAGTGTTTCCGGTCTCCAGGGAAACAGCAGATGTGGTGGCTCAGGTACTCCTGGACCACATCATTCCTCGGTTTGGTGTCCCACGAACCATCCAAATGGACAATGGGCCAGCCTTCACTTCCAGGGTCATGGAGCTTGTGTCAGAAGCTCTCAACATCTCCTGGAAATTCCACAACCCCTACCATCCACAATCCTCGGGAAAGGTGGAGAGGGCCAATGGACTCATCAAACAACAGCTAACCAAGTTCTCCATTGAACTCAGGTTATCTTGGCCCTCCCTTCTCCCCATTGCCCTTCTCACCTCAGGGCCACCCCATGTTCCCCTATGGGCCTGAGCCCTTTTGAGCTGTTTTATGGCAGGCCCTTTCTCCTTAACCATCACCTTCTAGTCCAAACTCCTCCACTGGTGGGGTGCCTACCCTACCTCTCCCTTTTAAGGTCCCTTCCCTGTTCACACTCTGGCAGCTGTTTCCCAGCCCCCACACCAGTGGGCCCTAATGCCCCTAAACCTGCCCCGCTCTCCCCAGGGGACAGAGTACTCCTCAAACAGCTAACTCCTAGGTCTCTTGAGCCTCGATAAACAGGACCTCACACGGTAATCCTCACCACACCCTCGGCTGCCAAGTTCCTGGGACACCAATGCTGGTACCATCTCCCCAGGCTCAAGTGGGCACCTACTCAGGACACCTGGTCTGTCCAGCAGACGGGACCTTCCACCCTCGGGTTTTCCAAGATGCCACAATGAAGGGCCAACCTGCTCCTCATCCTGGGATACTCATCTTTGGTGATATAAACAAGACAAGTAATAATATTTTTTTCCTAAACACCTGTCTTCTTACCTCCCCCAAGAAGCAGATGCCTCACATCTCCAGGATGACAGTAAACAGGATGCCTTTCCAGCCACACCTCTCACTGAGCGTGGACCTACCAATGATGTGGGAGTCCCCTCTGTGGTGCCGTGATTATCATTAATGAATAAAGAAAGTGCCTTGGCCTGTTGAGAGGACAGAGCTTAGGTAGGCAGAGAGGACTGGACTGAATGCTGGGTGGAAGAAAGCAGAGTCAGGGATGCCATGGATCCACCGCCTGAGATAGACATGCTGAAACTTTGCTGGTAGGTCACGACCTCTTGGTGATATACAGATTAATAAAAATGGATTAAATTAAGAGTTAGCCAATAGGAAGCTAGAGCTAATGGGCCAAGCAGTGATTTAATTAATACAGTTTCTGTGTGATTATTTCGGTTCTGGGCAGCTAGGACCAACAAGTGGTTCCTTGCAACACACCAACATCCAGCTCTCCCCTCCCCCACATTGCCCAGTGCCCACAGGAAGTAGCCAGACTTGAGTTGATTTTTTTTTTTATCAAAGAGAGCCTAAAGGTTGGTCATAAAAATCACCTCAGCTTCCTGTCACCCCTTATACAAAAAGTCTGGAATATATATCCCAGCCTCAGCCTCCATCTGTGGAGGTCCTGCCCCTGTGCTTCTAATTGAAGGTAGCCCACCAAACCTTGACCCCTCCCGAATGGTCAAGACCACTCCCCCAGGCTATTTAAACTGCTCCCCCAAAAATAAACCCATGGTTTTCCCTCTTTCCCCTGGTGGTCACGTTGGCGGTTTTCTTCTGGGCTATCCAAGAGCGCAGGAGTCCAACTAAACTTGGATATCTTTTAATTTGGTCTGATTTGGTGTGATTGGGACTATTGCGTGTCGGCAGAGAGCTCATGTTAGAAAATATTCCTAACACTTGTCATAGCTAAAAATGTGATCAGCCCACCCGGGGTAGTCTTCCTGCGCTAACACTGCATACACTGCATACTGCATACATACATACTGCATACACTGCACAGTACTACATACAATGCATACTGCATAACATACATCATACTGCATACTACATGCATACATACACATACACTGCACAGTACTACATGCACTGCATACTGCATACTACATACACTGCCTACTGCATACTACATACATACTGCATACACTGTGCAGTACTACATACACTGCATACTGCATACCACATACATACATATTGCATATACTACACAGTACTAGATATATTGCATACTGCATACTACATACATACATGCTGCATACGCTGCACAGTACTTCATACACTGCATACCACATACATACTGCATACACTGCGCAGTACTATATGCACTGCATACTGCATACTACATACATCATACTGCATACACTGTGCAGCTTTAGGGCCCAGGGTCCCTCGGATTTTTCTTTCTCTTTTCTTTTCTTTTGGACCACTTGTAAATGGTCCCTGCTGTGAGAGACTGCTAGGAGTGTCCTCTAGCCTCTCTGACTTCCGAGTTGCCCGGACCGCAGCCAATCTGCTTCATTAACATCTCATTCAAGACATTCATCTACAGGCCTTGTGGTGTTGCTGTTTTCAGGTTTTTCAGCTACGGAATATAAACCCTCAAACTATCAGCCACCTGCCTGTAAACACTCTGCCAGTGTCCAGCGAGCTCTGCTTTTCTTTTCACTAGGCAGCCCTTTCCTTGCCTGTCTGAAAATGCTCTTTTCCTCTCGCTCCAATTCTTTTTATTCTGTCCCTGCCACAGATACCACTGGTTGTGTGGAAACCGATAAGATTAGTTGGATCCATGAAGCAGCTGCTTTCAAGTTCAGCCTTTGTCCCTGCCGCGGCTTGTGGCATGGTGGCTTGGTGACAGGGCGGATCACACCTCTAGGTCTCTCTTGTCATTATGTTTAAAATTCCCACAGCTCTAAAAGCATAGCTTATCCATACAACGTGTGACTTCCACCATTTTGGTTGAGGTCAGATGACCTTACTCCTATCTTAACTGAGGTCAGGTGACTTTACTGCCATCTTAACTGAGGGCCAGATCAGGTGAGCAAGTCCTGCCATCTTTACTGAGGTATTCCCTGCCTGGTCCCCTGGTGATTTCTCTGTTACATGTGTGTTTTGTGCAATGTCATGCCTTTGGTAGGACTCACGAAAAAAATCCACTTCACCCAATTCCTGTTCACTGTGTGTGTGTATGGGTGTGGGGATATGGGTGGGTGCAACTTAAATGCACTTTATGTTTACTGTAAAATGTTATAATTGTCTGTTCATTGTATCTCATTACAGACTATAAAACAATAAGTCTCATGTTTCAAACTGATATATAAACAGATTCAAGGCAATGCCCATCAAAATCCCAGAAAAATTCTTCAAAGACCTCAAAAGAACAGTACTCAACTTCATAGGAAAAGCAAAAAACCCAGGATAGCCAAAAACAATCCTGGGCAATAAAAAACTTCTGGAGGCATCACAATCCCTGACTTCAAACTCTACTACAGAGCTACAGTACTGAAAACAGCCTGGTATTGGCATAAGAACAGACAGGAGGACCAATGGAACCAAATAGAAGACCCAGATATCAATCCACACATCTTTGAACACCTGATCTTTGATAAGCAAAAAAAATCAAATGGAAAAAAGAAAGCATATTTAACAAGTGCTGCTGGCATAACTGGATATCAACATGTAGAAAAATGCAGATATACCCATATCTATCACCACGCACAAAAATCAAGCCCAAATGGATCAAAGACCTCAACATAAAGCCAGCCACACTGAACCTTCTAGAAGAGAAAGTGGGAAGTATACCTGAACACAAGTAACCACTTCCTAAATATAAATCCAGCAGCACAGACACTGAAGAAACAATTAATAAATGGGACCTCCTGAAACTGAAAACCTTCTAGAAAGCAAAGGACATGGTCAACAAGACAAAACGACAGCCTAGAGAAAGGGAAAAGATCTTCACTAACCCAACATCAGAGGTCTGATCTCCAAAATATACGAAGAACTCAAGAAATTGGATACCAAAAGATCACATAATCCAATAAAAAAAGTGGAGTACAGAGAATTTTCAACAGAGGAATCTAAAATGGCTGAAAGACACTTAAGGAAATGTTTAACATCCTTAGTCATCAGAGAAATTCAAATCAAAACAACTCTGAGATTTCATCTTACACCTGTAAGAATGGCCAAGAGCAAAAACACTGATGACAACTTATGCTGGAGAGGTTATGGGGAAAAGGGAACACTTTTGCATTGCTGGTGGGAATGCAAGTTGGTACAGCCCCTTTGGATGTCAGTGTGGCGATTTCTCAGAAAATTAGGAAACAACCTTCCTCAAGACCCAAAAATACCACTTTTGGGTATATACCCAAAGGATGCTAAATCGTGCCACAAGGGCATGTGCTCAACTATGTTCATAGCAGCTTTGTTTGTCAAAGCCAGAAACTGGAAACAACCTAAATGCCCCTCGAGCAAAGAATGGATAAGGAAAATATGGTATACTACACAATGGAGTACTACACAGCAAAAAAAATAACAACAGCTTGAATTTTGCAGGAAAATGGATGGAGCTAGAAAACGTTATTTTGAGTGCGGTAACCCAGACACAGAAAGACAATTATCACAAGTACTCACTCATAGGTGGTTTTTAAACATAAAGCAAAGAAAACCAGCCTACAAACCACAATCACAGAGAACTTAGACAACAACAATGTAGACACTAAGGAGACTTACACAGATCTATTCTACCTGGGAAGTAGAATGTAGAAAAAGATAAGATCTCCTGAGTAAATTGGGAGTATGGGGACCTTGGGGGTAGGGCTGAACAGGGGAGGGGAGAGGCAGGGAGGGGAGCAGAGAAAAATGTAGAGCTCAATAAATATCAGTAAAGTAAAAAAATAAAAATAAATGGGACTGAGATTGAAGTAATATTGGATTCTGGTGCTGACATATCTATAATTCTCAAGAATCCTGGGATCCCAGCTGATCTTTGCAGGAAGTCTCTACTCAGTTTGTAGGCACTGGAACCTTATCACAGGTAAAGCAGAATTAAGAGTAGATTAAATATGTAGGACTAGAAGGACAAAGAGGGATGCTAAAGCCTTAATGTAGCCGATGGACTTATGGAGGGAGAGATTTATTTATTATAACAATGGGGAACTCAAATTAATATTCCTCCAGTTTCAGAGACAGCTTGCAAAATGATGTCAAAAATGGAGTATGTTCCTGGAAAAGGTCTTGGAAAAAATTGTCAGGGAAAATCACAGACTATACAGATTGTCCACTGCCAGGACAAATAGGAACTAGCTATTCATATGGAGTAGGGGCCACTGCCAACTCTTCTGCCTTTGAAAGGGTCGACTAGTAAGCCGGTGTGGGTAGAACAGTGGCCCTTAACTAAAGAGAAATCTCAGGCGCTTGAAGAACTGGTAAAAGTACAGTTAGAAGCTCAGCACATTGAGGAAATTACTAACCCTTGGAATTCTCCTGTGTTTGTAATAAAAAAGAAATCTGGAAAATGGGGAATGTTAACCAATCTAAGAGCTATTAATAAGATAATTCAACCTATGGGATCTTTATGGCCTGGAATTTCTTTACCTTACTTATTATCTAAAGACTGGCCTATTGTAGTTATGAATTTGCAGGATTTCTGTTTACTGTTTTTTTTTTTACAAGAACAGGATAGAGAAAAATTTGCTCTTACAGTTTCTGCTGTAAACAATGCCCAGCCAGGGAGATGATTTCATTGGAATATCCTACCACAGGGAATACTAAATAGCCCAACTTTGTGCCAATATTTTGTAAATCAACCAGTGAAAGTGGTACATAAACAATTTTCTCACTCTATTATATATCATTAAATGGATGATATTGTATTGATTGCTTCTGATACAGATACCTTAGGAAAAATATTTAATATAGTACAGAAAATCTTACCCTGTTGGGGATTTCAGATGTCTCCTGAACAAACAAACAAAAACAATGGGGATATTATTTAAACTACTTAAGAGTTAAATGAAATAAACAAAAAATTCAGCCACAAAAGATACAGATTAGAAGGTATCAATTTTATACTCAATGATTTAAAAAAATTATTTGGTGATATTAACTAGTTGCTGCCGACTTTTGGATTATCTACCCAGGAATTGAGTAATTTGTTTCAAACTTTGCAAGGTGACTCAGATTTACACAGTCTAAGACAGTTAACAGCTGAGGCTGGAAGGCAGTTAGCCCAGGGAGAACACAAACTACAAATGCCCAAGGGATTGATTGAATCTCACAACTGAATAAATTTTAGTAATTCTGCCTTCCAATCATTCCCCTACTGGACTCATCATCCAGAGGAAGGATAATATTTTGAAATGAATTTTTCTAGATCACAAACAGTCTAAAAAATCAAAGACCTATACAAAGAAAGTTTCTGAACTAATTTTAAAAGGAAGAATAAGACTTCGTCAATTGTTAGGTATGGATCCAGCTGAGATTGTGGTACCCTATACTAATGCTGAAATTGTGCAATTGTGGGAGATTAATGACGATTGGCAAAGAACTTGTAGTAATTTCTTAGGAGAAATTAGCAACAAATATTCAAAAAGTAAGTGGATTCAGTTTATAAAAGAACGGAATGGATTCTTCCCTGCATAGTGAAAAGGGCACCTATTTCTGGGGCTCTTACATCGTATACTGAAGCAAATAAATTATGAATGGCTGTTTATAAAGCAGGAAATATCAGTTAAGTAATTCAAAGTCCACATGACTCAGTTCAAAAATCAGAGTTATAGGCCATTCTGATGGTTTTATTAGCTTTTAATGAATAACTACTGATTCTCAATATGCAGAAAGTGTTGTATTGCATATAGAAACAATTGCACTTATTCCTGGTAATTCAGAATTAACTTATACTCCTACAACAGGCAATCCGAGAAGGAAATTCACACTTTATATTACCCGTATTCAGTCTCATAGGGGATTGCCTGGGCCATTAGCAAATGGAAATAAAGAAAGTGATCAATTATTGATAGAAAAATGTTGGAAGCTTCAAAATTTCTTAAGAAACATCATATTAATACTAGGGGCTTAAAAAAATGTTCCACTGGGCAGGAGAGAAACCTCAGACAACAAATGGAGCCCACAAATGGACAACTGCATCCACACAAAGCCTGAGAGAGTTTGGGAAGTAATCATAGACAGAAAAGAATAGAGTAAAGCATGGCTTCTTGATAGCAGCATTTTCTCAGGTGGGCTCTGTTTGCTAGAGGCAAATGAGTCTATAAAAAATTAGGATTCTTAGACCCTGAGGCAAAAGGCTCATTCTCCTGTGAAGACTTCTCACTGAGATCTGTTAGGCTCAACCTTTTCTTTCCTTTCTCTCCAAAAGTACAAATAAAAATATCTCCATGGCTCTTAACTTCATGTGCAGAGATCTAGGTTTTACAGGACCTAACATTTACAAATACCTCTTTAATAAAAAGAATACAAGTGCCTAAGTACAAAATTAAATAAATATTTTTGCTGCTGTGGTTTTGAGACAGGCTTTCACACCAGAATTCACCTTATAGCCCAGACTGGCCTTGGTGATAGGCTTATCTCAGCCAGCTAAATTCTAAGATTCCAGATATGAACCACCATGCTCAGATCTATTTTTTTTCAAGCCAGGGTTTCTCTGTGTAGCCCTGGCTTTCCTGGACCTAGTTCTGTAGACCAGGATGGCCTCAAGCTTAGAGATCCCCTGCCTCTGCCTCCTGAGTGCTGGGATTAAAAGTGATCACTAACACTACTCAACTAAATAAATTTTTAATGGAAAAAGTCTACAAATTGTTGGAAGCCGGAGAAATGGAGCTTATGGAGTACAGCTCATCTGAGAACACAGCTAAGATAAGTGCACCCCAAGAGGCACCCAACTCCAGGGTTGGTCTCCAGAACTCCCCTCAGTCCTGCTGTGCCTTCTGTTTGCTGCTGTTGTGTTCTTACTGTATTTGGCACGGTATTGCTACTATGTGAAAACATCCCACTGTATCTAGTATACTGTGTTTGTTTCATGGGAAAATTACACTCCTCACTGGGCAACTTACTAGCAGATCATAATGAAGATGATTTTTACAAGAACAATGATGCTTAGTTGGATCAATCATTTAGTTGAACTTTTTGAGTCAAAGAAGATACAGGTAGTTAAGACAGTTAGTGAAGATGATTAGGAAAATGGTTTAGATTATTCTGCCAGTCACTCCAATGAGAGATACAAAAGACAAAAATAAGATTAGAAGTCACCCCCATTTTTCGAGATGTGAGACTTGCTGAGGATGGAAACTAAGAACAAGGAAGTTTTGTGCATTGTGGACCCATAAGTGCTGTATATGGAGAAACAGGCTGATGGTCAAAGAAAGCAATTCTGTCCCTGCACACAAGGTCAGGTCGGGTTCCTTGGTCATGGAGCTTACAGAATTAATCGCAGGTTTCTGGATGCACCTTGAATAAAGCAAAGTTGGGAGAGGAAATTAAACTGCTCTCTTGTGTCTAGAGAAAAAAGAAACATAGATGGTTAGCTAGACCATTTGTTTAAGGTTTTGTAGAGAAGAAATAGGCCAGGAATCTGCTGCACTGAAACCACAAACAGCTGCCTGCTGGAACAAAGGAACTGGCTGAAATACACTTGGCTTGCTTAGAACTTTGTTAATCAACAATAAAAGAATCATTGCTTCAGGGTGAAGATGTCATGGTGGGAAAATTAATACAAAGCAAAATGTTTAACTGCTTGTGGGCTTGTAAGAAAAAATGTAACTCGTGATCATAATGTGATTTTCTCTCGTGTAAAGATTTTAATTTGCTTTTAGAAAACATGTAACTGTTGGTAGTGAGGTAATCTCTTCTGGTGTATAGACTTTTGTCTTAGGTGGTATAAAAGGGATAAGAGAAAAATACAGAAGAAAGAAAAATAAAAAAATCAGCTTTGTCCCTCAGAGAAGCCTCCTGTGTGTTTATTAGTGTCTGCTTGGTTGGAAGTGGCACCCCAGCCCCTGGCATCCATATACCCAAAGAGTATGGAATATCTGGGTGGAAAGTTCCATCCCAAGCCCCTTCACCTTGGAGCTGCCTCAGTCCAGACTCTACCTCTGAGAAAGCCTGCCAATCGATGACCCCTCCCCAGAGATGCTCAAGACTACTCCCACAGGGCATTTAAACTGCCCCCAGAGAACAAACACATGGTTTCCTAGTCTTCTTCCCCACCTCCTCTCTCTGGGAGACTGGAAGACAACCTGGGAGCTCTAGAATCCATTAAACCTGGGCTTCTTAAAATTTGCTTTGACTTGGTTTGATTTGGATTATTGCATCAGCAGAGAGGTTTATTGGGCTATTTTGGATATATGGATGCCAGGGACTAGGGTAACACTTCCAACCAAACATCCCAGACTCTTTGGGTATATGAATGCCAGGGGCTGAGGTGAAGCCTTAACCCAGTGTCAACTCCTCATATCCTCCCAGGTTCTCTCAGCTGAAGCTGGACTTCAGCATGGGTGGCCATGTTCATTTTTAAACATTTATTTATTTACTTACATTTATTTGTATCACTGTTTCGCTTGTATGTCTGTTTAAGGGTGTGGAGTTTCCTGGAATTGGAGTTACAGACAATTGTGAGCTGCTGTGTGGGTGCTGGGAACTGAATCCAGGCTCCCTAGACAAGCACCCAGTGCTTTTAACTGCTGAGCCATCTCTTCAACCCAAGGTGGCCATATTTTTAATCAATCAAGCATTCCAGCATTCCAAAGGCAGAGACAGGAGGACATCAGTGAGTTCTACAATGGGAGTCCCAGGCCAGTGTGGGCTAGTATGACAGTTATTTATCTCAAGATAAAACATATAAACAAAAAAAAAATTTCTTTTTTTCTTTTTTTCAATACAGGGTTTCCCTGTGTAGCCCTGGCTGCCCTGGAACTCACTATGTAAACTAGACTTGCCTTGACCTCACAGAAATCCATTTGCCTCTGCCTCCTGAGTGCCGGGATTAAAGGAGAAAGAGAATAGAGAGACTAGCAAAAGGTAATATGAGAGAGAGAGAGAGAGAGAGAGAGAGAGAGAGAGAGAGAGAGAGAGTGCAGGAGTAGCTATGATAGAAGAAGGGTGAGTAGCTGGGGGGGGGGGCTGGGAGTGGGAGGAAGTTTAGAGCCGAGAAGGGCTAGGAAACCATCATGGACTTTGAAATGCGTACCTGGTACTAATACTGAAGGAGCCAGGAGGCCAGCATGGGCTTTGATATGCTGAGAGATGCCCCTGGTAGTCATGTGTCCCTTTTGCCAGAGATAAGGCAAATGTCTTCTTTTGGCAGATGGGAACCAGTTTCCCATTTCCTGAGGAATGCTAGTTTGTATCTAACCCCCAGAAATAGGTCTGTAGTCCAGGTTGAGCTCATTTCTGGATATTTGGACTGCTTGAGGCCTAGCAAAAACAACTTTTTCTTTTCTTTTTAAAGTCAGGGTTTTGCTGTATTTTACGCTGGCTTTGAACTCACTCTATAGTCCAGGCTGGCCTCATATTTCCAGTCATCCTGCTCCAGCCTCTGGAAGGCTTGGATTACAAGTGTGGGTTCCAACCCCTGGCAAAGGCAGTTCTTCTGGGAGGGTATGCTAGCCCACACCTGTGGGCCAGCCCTCAGGAAGCAGAGGCAGGTTCACCTAGACTTTGGGATGGGCCTGGTCTATATAGTGAGCACTAGGCCAGTGAGGCTTACAGAGTGAAGCCCTGTCTCAAGAAAAAAAAAAAGTGGATTTTCTTGACAGATACAGATCAAAAATATCACAATAAAAATTTGTTTTCTAAAGAGAGATCCTATTGTAGATTCCCCCCTTTTTGTAGTTTATTGTTTCATTTGACCCAAATAGTCCTGCTCAGGACTACAGTGAGGAAAAGAAGATGTGAATCTATTGATTAATGCTAAATTTGGTCCTTTAAAATAAGAAACAGAATGGCAGCATTTATAATCTTATACAAAGTCAGCCCCACTTCAACTTCCAGAAAGATCAGTCAGTTCTTCCTCATGTGTTTTCTTCCCAAATCCCTTCAATCTTCCCATCTTCTGTTACCCCGCCACTTCCGGGGAGGGGGAACCCAAACTAGAAAGATCCTGCTAGGCTCTCCCAGGTGTAAGTCAAACCTAAAGGGAGAGGCAGTGGCAGAAAAGGTCCCTAAGACTCTGGGTTTGTATTTTGAGACAGGGTTGTACAATATAACCCTGGGCTAGTCTAGCATCTCTGTGAAGTCCAGGCTGGCCCAAAACCTGAAACAATCCTGCTGCCTCTGGGAATACAGTCATGTAACATATTGTTCAGATAATGAAAGTTTCTTAGAGCATTTCTTAAAACTAAGAAGAAGCCATGCCCAAAATGATCACCACCACCCCAAATGAATGTTTCAGTTGTTAAAATAAAGTTCCTTACTTTCTCTAGTGGTTTCTCCCATAGTTTTAAGCTCCTAAACACAAAATTATTGGAATTTTCCCCAGTAAAAAATACCACCAGAAAGTAACATGGGCAGTCACTTACTTTTGAGAGACCCATCCGAGGACAGGCTTGTCTGTTGCCTGGGTGAGCCTTGGGCGGTCTCCTCTTGTTCACGGGTGAGTCTGGGGCCGTCTCCTCCTATTCACAGGTGAGCCTGGGGCAGACTCCCCCTGTTCACGCACATCTTTTGGCAGCCTTGCTCTTTTTATCACCCCTCTAAGGAGAGCAGAGTGTTTAGTTAGCTCTGTCCCCTCTGACTTGCACCCAGAACGCAAAAGGTTCATGAATACTTCAACTAAAACAGAATCAAGTTTCAGACACGCTGCGAGTCGGAAATTGATCCACTACATTGAATCGGAGCCCCGAGAAGCAAAGAGATATTTCCAAAACTTTGCCGGGGCTGGGCACCTGTGGGAGTTTGAATATGAATAGCCCCCATATGCTCGCAGTTTTGCAGGATTGGTCCTCAGGTGACGAGGTGTCAAGAGAAGAAAATGGAGGTGTGATCTTGCTGGAGGCGTGTCACCTGGAGAGGGCTTTGAGCTTTCAAAAGCCCAGGCTAGAACCAGTGTCCACGTCCTGTCCTGTTAAGCCTAGCTTTAAAGGAGAAGAAATCTAAGGGAGGTTGGCTACTGGGATTTTCTTTTCTTTTAAACCGTATCTTTCTTATTTATTTATCTTAAGTTATTATGTGACTCTGGCTGACCTGGAACTCCCTGTGTAGACCAGGGTGGCCTGGAACTCACAATAATCCACCTGCCTCTGCCTCCCAAGTGTAAGGGTTAAAGTTACATGCCTCCACTCTTAGCCTAAAATTTATTTAATTTTTATTTATTCATTTACTTTTTTTTTTTTTTATTTTCGAGACAGGGTTTCTCCGTAGCTTTTGGTTCCTGTCCAGGAACTAGCTCTTGTAGTCCAGGCTGGCCTCGAACTCACAGAGATCCGCCTGCCTCTGCCTCCCGAGTGCTGGGATTAAAGGTGTGCGCCACCACCTTTAATTTCATTTACTTTTTATTTTTTGAGGCAGAGGCTCAAGAGTCAATGACCTTGAACATCTGACCTTCTTCCTACACCTCCCAAGGACAGAAGTTACAAGTGTGCACCTTCACACTCACACTTGGCTTCTGGAATTTTGTTTTGTTTTGTTTTGTTTTGTTTTTGAGACAGGGTTTCTTCTCTGTGTAACAGCTTTCGCTGTTCTGGAACTCACCCTGTAGACCAGGTTGGCCTCCAGCTCACAGAGATCCACCTGTTTCTGCCTCCTAGGTACTGGTTGGGATTAAAGACCACCACACCTAGCTGTTACTTTCTCTCTCTCTCTCTCTCTCTCTCTCTCTCTCTCTCTCTCTCTCTCTTTCTCTCCTTCCTTCTTTCCTTCCTTCCCTCCTTCCTTTCCTCCTTCTTTCGTTGTTTAAATTTTTTAGAGACAGTGTTTCTCTGCATAGTACTGGCTGTCCTAAAACTCACTCCATAGATAAGGTTGGCCTCAAACTTATAGTGACTCACTACATGCCTCTGCTTGGCTAATATATATATATATATATATATATATATATATATATATATATATATATATATATATGAAAGATGTTAGAGCTGGACAGTGGTGGCACACGCTTTTAATCCCAGCACTTGGGAGGCAGAGGCAGGTGGATCTCTGTGAGTTGAAGGTCAGCCTGGTCTACAGAGTGAGATCAAGAATATCCAGGACTATTATATAAGGAAAACTTGTCTTGGAAGACAAAGCAAAACAAAAATAATTTTAAATTTATTCTTTGGGCTGAAGAGATGACTTCGAAGTTAAGAGAACTGGCTGCTCTTCCGGAGGTCCTGAGTTCAATTCCCAGCAACCACATGGTGGCTCACAACCATCTGATCTCTGGTGCCTTCTTCTGGCCTGCAGGCAGAACACTGTGTACATAGTAAATAAATTAATTAATTAAAAACCAGAAAAAGAAAACGTCTACCCACTAGAAAATACAAACACATCTTTTTTTAAAAAAATTATTCTTTAACAATCATATATTTTGATGACATTCATGAACCATTTGTTATTATTTATAGCCTGAGAGAGACCTTGGTGGATCCCCATAGTGGGTTGGGTACCATGCAGGAAACAGAATATGCCTTGCAGAGAGAGTTTGGGTATGGGGAGTTTATGTGGTGGGTATTGGGAGGGTATGGAAGGACAGGGCATATGGGGAAAGAGAGAAAGAGAAAAAGAGGGAGAAATAGAGGGACAGAGAGAGAAAGGGAAAAGGAGAGAAAAGAAGAGAGAGAAGGGAAGGGGTAGAGAAACAGAAAGATGCTTCTTTAGAAGGATAGCCGGGAGACAGAGAAAGAGAAAGGAGGCTGCAGCAAGCTTGCCTCAGGAGGCCTAGAGAGAGGGAGTGTGCAGAGCTTGTCTCTTAAAGGACAGGCTTCTGACAGGGCAGCCAGCAAAACCATAGCATCCCATCTTCCCTCAATCACAGAAGGCGAGGAGCAGGCGGCAGGTTACAGGATGAAGGCGTCAAGTTCATAAAACTGCTTCCTGCGGATTTGTGGGTGTCAAAATCTTGGGGGACCTGAGGAAGCTGCGGTGCTGGCCACGTCCTAGGGTATCCAGTTGCTTCACTGTTCTCCCAGCTCTGTGGAACTGTCTGGTGTTCCTTGAGCCTGGTGAGGTGTGGGCAGAGCAGAGGACAAGGTTAAGTTTAGG